GCTTGCAGAGTTCAGAGTTTAGGGTTCGGGGGTTTAGGGTCCAGGGGCTTCAGAATCGGAGAGTTGCTTGCTTCGGATTGGTCCGTCTGCTATTGTTGATGATATGCAAATCCTTCATAACCTTCATTTATAAGGACCCTAAGCTATGGGAATTATGGTATAAGCCTTACTATGGGTAATGCAGGATTTGTATCATCAATTGTATGGGTTAAGGGGTTGAGGGTTTAGGGGTTTAGGCCTTGGGGTTTTGATCTGTTTTACTCAGGGTGGGGAGAATTCGGGGTTCAGGGTTTCTGCATGCGTTTAGGATTTCTTTGCGGGTTTGATCGTCTCTTTCCGGCTGACTATAGGGCTTCGGGCTTCGGCTTGCAGGATGCTGGGCTGACTGTAGAGGGGCATTCAGGTTCTGGGCTATAGGTCTTCAACAAATCTGGTACTTACTGCCGTCCCACCTGTACCCTTACACCTTAGACAATACTCCTACCTAACCTCCCGGAAACCGCATCGAGCCAAAATGCATGGTTTCCAGCCCTGAGCAGTTTCTTCAATGCTTGCATGTTTTTGCCAAGAACGTTTTTGGTTACAAACCCAATAACCGAACACAAGGCTGGGGTATCCAGTCAGCGAGGGTATAGATAAGGCCTGCACGGGCAAACGACAAGCAGACATGTCGGAGAAAAGAATTCAGCTTGCCCTCAGGCTGACAACAACAAGTTCATCACCTCTACCAAGTATGATGGCGCACGATCATCATAGATGGTCTGCCCGCGACACAAACTGAATCTACGAGGCGCTGGAGTCAAGCCGTCCTTACCAGTACGACTGTTCTGATGAGGTCTAGTGTTTGCTACTAAGTGCACATGCTGCTAGCGCCAGTGCAACTGCTACTGCTCCTACTGTTGTCGCTGTGCCCCTGCTTCGGCTGCTAATGCCTTACCTTTACTACCCGCACTATGAAGACAACCACTGCTACTGCCGCAGCAGCTTCTCGCAACAAAGGCCTTGCGTCTGCCCTGAACCCAGAGACTCCAATACCCCTTATTTAAGGAATATATACCTTAAATCATAATATTAAGGCCCCTATATTTTAAGGTATATTCCTCAATTAAGGGGTATTGGAGTCTCTGGGAACCAGAAGCCAGCTAAACTCCTGGAGGCCCGAGCCTCCTTTTCGGCTTGGAGCCTTTCCGCCAGCGGCTCTTCCAGTGGCAGCTGCGGGGGCCAAGGCCTCGTGAAGGGTTGCCTTTGGTGTTGAGTCTCTTATTTGTTTTAAGGGCCCTGTTTAGTGCTTCGGTTTTTTGTTGGGTGTTTGGGGGTTTAGGGTTTAGGGAAACGCTTCAAAAAAGCCGCGAGCCGCTCGAGCTCTCGGTTGCAAGCCTGCCCAATGCGAACGTGATCGGTGGCACTCTACGGGCAGCAGCAAACCACGAAGCCGTCCCCTGCTGATGACCCGAAAATCAAAGACTACCAAAGCCTCGAAACTCTGAAACCCTACCCAAACCCTCCCTAAAAATCCTCGAAACCTGGAAATCCCAAACCTTTAAACCCTAAAAACCCCAGAAACCTAGAAATCCGAAGCCCTTAAACCCTTAAAAACCCTACTGCAATCCTACAAGACCCTTGCAGATCGCCAGGTGGCCCCTCTCGCCCCGCTGCGGTGGCCAATGACCGCTCCAGTCGGCCAGCTGCAAAGTTGCCACGGAGTCCGAGCCTCTAACGTAGGGGGCTTAGGGAACAGGGTTTCGGGTTTAGGGTTTAGGGTTTAGGGTTTAGGGGTTCTACAAGGGATCTATAACAAGGTTCTAACGTAGGGAGCTTGGTAGTTAGAACAGGGTTCCTTTAAAGGGATCCTTGAAGGGTTCTATAAGGGATCTATAATAAGGTTCTAACGTAGGGGGCTTAGTAGTTAGAACAGGGTTCCTTTGAAGGGATCCTTAAAAGGGTTCTATACGGGATCCAGAATAAGGTTCTAATGTAGGGGCCTACACTAAACCAGGGTTTAGGGTTGAGGGGTTTAGGGGTTAGGGGTTTAGGGGTTTAGGGGTTTAGGGGTCTAGGGGTTTAGGGGTTTAGGGTTCGGTCTTAATAAATTGAATAGGGTTTTGGGGGCCTGCATAGTATAGATATATTATAAGAAACATCCAAAACAATATCCCGGGTTTAAGGGTTTAGGGGTATAGGGTCAGGGTTTAGGGGTCTAGGGTTACTTGGAGGAGCGGGAGACTTAGTCCCAAAATAGCATTGGTAATTGTGTAGACAACTATACTACCCATTCAATACTAGAGCCGATGTGGGCCATCCACACTCCGAGAGGCAAGAGCCGCGGAGTCAGCAGAACCACTCGGAAGAAACATGCCATCTATGAGACGACCCCTTCATTCACCCCATAACCCTAAACCCTAAACCCTGAACCCCATATTGGATCTACACCCAGATAAGCCTCCCCTTCAAGATCCATAGCCTTAGCCCCATTAACCCCAAACCTGCATGCGAGAAGCCCCAGTTTCTGCTCCGACCAGGTGCCGGTGAGAGGGCCTCAGATCGTGGAAAGCGAGACCCACAGAGTCCAGTGCCCCTGAAATTCCTGAGATCTTGTGGCGTGGCGGGTATATGAGCCCGCTGTGAAAGTGGCTGTAGGATTGGAAAGAACTGGCTTGGGAGCAAAATAAAAATTGTAGAACTTGGGAGAAATGGCTTCGGGCCTAGTGTCTGAGGAACCCTAAACCCTAAACCCTAAAACCCCTAAACCCTAAAACCCCTAAACCCTAGATCAAGATCTGCCGAGGACAGGGTTGAGGGTCCGTACTCAGGAAGCAGAGTGCTGAATGGGAACTTGACCCTCGAGGTCGATCTGTCTTGGTTTTTAAACACCAAACCTTAAAACTTTCTTGGTTATCTGGAAGGCATTCGAATGTGGACCCACGGGTCGTTCACCATCGGAATCGAGGCTCGGAAGCGTCATGCAACATTCAACAATAAAAAGAAAATAGCTCTGTAGTAGTAGGCCGCTGAAACACTAGGAGACAGATACTCTGGAGCACATGCCCGCCCTAAATGCATAACTCTCTGTTTTTTTTAAAACAATGTTCTAAGCAGCTATGTAATGTGCTAGGCAAACTTCAAACTCCCTAACCTCACCCACCAGAAATCACTGACCACAATCAAGCATAAAGATGGAACAAGCTACTCACATGCCCACACACCCAGGGGTTTACCTATACTACAACTCGCTATGCTTAGATTAGACTTTGTGTCCTGAACAAGAGACCCTGAAACCCCGAACCAAAACTCGTGGACTCCAAATCCCGCATACTGAGATTTCCGGCTCGGCGGGGTCTCCGTGCCATCGGCTGAAGGCACTGCTAAACTCTCAGCGAGGAGTCGAAAGGCTGTAACGCTCTCTGCCAGGCTCCTACCTTGGAGCGCTGTCGGGCGTTTTTAAAGCTTTTGGGAGTTTTTAGGCTTGAGGTTTGTAGGGTAATTAGTAACTGGGCTTGTTCCTGTTTTGGGACTTGAACTTTTCTAGGATTTACCAGCAGTTTCAGCTTGGGAAGCAAGAGGACTTAAACGGTGTCAGCTTTCTTGGGCTGAAGCCTGAATTCCCAAAGAACCCAATACCCCCTTAGTTAAGGAATATACCCCTAAGGGTCCAGTACCCAAATAGTAGATACTTTGGCCCCAAAGTACCCAAACAGGGACTACCTTGAGGCCAAAGTATCTACTATTGGGTACATGGACCCTTAGGGTACCTAATTCATAATACTGTGGGCCCTATTTAAAATGTAAGGTATATTCCTTAATTAAGGGGTATTCAGTTCTCTGACTTGATATGGATTGGAAGCCTAGGCTTGCTCGCTATACCGTACGCGTGTGTTGGAGGGTAGAGGGGCATGTCGAGACGTTTGCTGAAGGTTTGCGTGCTTAATGTAGGGGTTTACATAAATACCGGCACTATTTTGGGGTTCCTTAGTATAACTATAGCATANNNTCTAACTACTAAGGCCCCTGTATTATGACGTTAAGCAGGGCTCATCGATCTCGATGTTCAGGGACATCCCAGAAGCTCCTGAACTTCCTGAACATTGATGGGCAGAACCCCAAAATCCAAAGAACCCAATCATCAGATACTTATAGGTTTGGGATGGTACTTAGTCGGATATCGCAGTTACAACAGCTCCCTCGTGTCCCGTTGTCGAGTTGCATTCCTCACGAAGAGCGGTCTGGCAGGACTCAAGCTCGGCGCGCTTCTCTGCACTCACCTGACAATCGTAACTGCTTGCGTTGTATTCTGGGTCGGTCGTGCTTCACCTGTGATTTGTGGCTGAAGTGGCTGGCAACCTTTAATCGTTGCAGTAGGGCTTTCTGGCAAGTCAGGATCGCGGATGGACCTGAGTCACGACTGCAAGACACTTAACTGTTCAGCCTAGCGCTCTCCACTTGGGACCCTACCTACTTGCCCCTGCTACACACACACAC